AATTCAAGCAAGGGTTGGCCTGTGATTTTTTAACGATAACAGGCCAACCAGAAACAGATGGATGTTGTTCAGAAAATAGTCCGTCAAACTTGTCCGTAAAAATCACTTTTTAACCTTCATTTTTATATCCAACACAGTCTCACCGCATTTAATAGAGATATGTAGCAAGCTAAGTAATAGCATTTAATAGCAAGCTTTATTCCGAGGAAAAGTAACTAAAAGAAAAAAGCTAAAAGATTTGAGGTTAGTGTAGTACTAGAGCCATTTCCACGAGCCAATTCCAGCCAGGACCGATTTGAAATAGGCACTTTCCTAGTTATTGAGAAACTGATTACACATATTAATACGTTCAATCAATCTGTGAACTGAGCCAGACATTTTCTAGCGCAATTTAGAGATGGCCAATTCTTTTTAGGACAACACTCTTTGCTCAGAAAAGTTCATTAAACTAGCGCATGCCTTACTTTAGCCAGATTCTCGTCCTTAATTTGATAACAAGACATCTTTTCTGAATACTTCTCGAAAATGCATTTATGGAAGGAACATAGAGACAAGGCTCAACAATAGTTGTGTCTTATTGGATATCTTTTTTGGGAATCAAAAATAAGAGGAGAGAATGGAGTGATGCCTATGTAATTCTTGCCCGAGACCAAATACCCACTTGAGCAATTTGCTTCCCTAATCTAAAGGTTACTCAAACTTTTCTTGCTCCTAAATTTTTTCAAAATATGCTACTTTCCAGCATCAATTATTTTAATTGAAGACAGAAACATACTTTTGATATTCTAAAACAGCTCAAAAATCACAATTTGATACTCATTTGGCTTATCATTCTCAACTAAGATGATGGTCCGAACTGTTTTTTCATCAAGAGGAAATTTCCAAGGAATATACAACATTATTAGAAGATGTAATGACATAATGTTTCAAAAACTTTACACAGTTTTTTCTTGCATTTTGATGCAAGGCCTACATTTTGATTTAGAAGAAGCTTACCCAGATCCTGCAAGTTGACAGCCGTATTCACTTCATTCTCCGTGTCCAGCAGCACATCGTTGTTTATAATCAGCTGAAATCACGAATAAAACTTTTCATATTTTTTTCTTGCATAAGCTCACCTTTCTGATACACCCATGAAATCCATTCGTTGTGCCAACTTTGCTCTCTAACGCATCTATATTCGGAGGTGCACCACCGAGGAAAACTCCTTCGTCCATACTTATTCCTTTGTAGAACTAAAGCATTTTTTCTCTCATGAAGTTTTTCAATCAGGCTTTTTCAAACACATTTTGTTTTTCACCCAGCCATGATTTCGTTGACCCTTGCGTGAAAGCCGTTAAATGTGTTTTGTTTTTCAGAGAGCTTCGCAACTCGCAGAGGCTCTCGTTTCCCATCTGGGTCAAGTTAATTTACGGAGTGAGAAAAGCGACGTCTATGTTGTTGAAATTGAATTTTCTACTATTCTCAAAGTTAAATAGGTGCAGATTTGCTTTGAAGGGCAAACGTCGAAGTTCAAAAATGTTCTCGAAACAGAAGTGTGCTCTTCAGGAAGAAACGGTTCCTAGATCGAAAAAAAATATCTTTTTGTAAGCAAAAACAAACCTTTAAA